TTCGCGAACTAGTAGTGAGAAGAAATTATCGATAAAAAGTAGCGTAGTAATGATATGTGAAGCGCCCATCGGCACTATCTGCTTGTTTGAGTTGTGCGTAAATGATAGCGCGGCGATTTTTTGAATGCAACATTGCGTGATCCATAACGTTTTTGCTCGATGATCGTCTCATTATAGTTTTAAATTACAATTTATGTATGTTTCAGTTTATTGGCGAGATAGATAATGCAAAACTCCACACATCCAAAAAATAATTACGTATAATCATTGTAATTTTACATTATGTCTAAAAATGACTGGAATTATGATATATACAGATGAAAATAATAAATAATAATAGATATACAGAGTATTCCGCGTTTTAATTGCTCCAGGCAAATATCTAACAAATGCAGGATACGAGAAAAGTGTTTTACAATTAGACAAAAGTTGTAGGACATGAAAAGAGACAAATAATAATAAAATCAATTTCACCAAAAAATTGATTTTTTAAGGTCACTCGGAAGTTTAACCACTTTTTTAAATTAAATAATATAATTTTTTTAAATAATTTGCCATATTTATTATACCATATTTTGACATAAAATATAAAATATATAATTGATTTCTTTTTAATTGTACCTTTATATTTTTATGTACAGAATAATATGACGAATTGATTGGAGTAAAGAAAACACAGTTGCTTTGCAAAAAAATGTGCAATTGCAATGATTGATGGTGAAATTGATTTTATCATTACTTGTCCTCCTTTATGTCCTACTTTTGTTTACTCTTCTCTACGAGAAACATTTTCTCATATTTTGCGTATTTTTTGAGATTTGCTGGGCAATAAAAATGAGACACTTAATTTGTACAAGTAATGCAGATTTAAAAAATATTTAAAACTAACAATTTTGCTTCACATTTTTGTTTCCATTTTAATAATAAACATTTAATTTTTTGTGCACGAGAAATCATTTATATTTGACTCCATCTAGTGCGTCAACGTTGGCATTTTCCGTTTCATTCTATGAATTAATGCGACAATGTTATCGCAGACGTTTTAAAGTTTTATCATGGTTCTGATGACCTTACAGCAAAATACTTGTGCAACTAACTCTGGCTACGATATCGTTTTCAAAGCTTAAAAATGTTATCCCACTTTTGCTGTGTTAAGGACATATATCAAAACATTCTGACATTGTGACAGTAGCTGTGCTATATATACACAAATACTGCGATTTAAGATGCGATAACGTTATCGAAATCGTTTTAAGCTTTATGTGCTACTTAAAGTTAGACATATATATTTGCATAAAGTCCGATGTTCAGTAGCACTTTATTAAAATGCAGCTGATTACATGCATTATTGTCAGTGTACTCGTAGTCTACTCGTAGCTACTGTACTATATAGTCATAGTTGGTAACAACTATAATTTAATATTATTTCTGTAAAAATGTATCGTTCAAGAAGAACAAAATGTTTGCATTTTATTATTATTTTCTAAATAAAAACAAACTAATAAATCGCAAACTCTTATAAATATTTAATATTGGAAGGTAGTGATTAATTACTTATTCTAAGTATTAAATAAACTATTTAGCGCTTTCAATTTTTAAAATAAATCATTTTCAGTATTAAATTAGATTTATGTAAAGATTACTAAATTTTCCAAACTTATGTAATCAAAGGAAATGTTTCGCTAAGTATACGCATTATCTTTGCCTGCGAATGTAAATAAATTACTTGCATAAAAAGGAAATATCTATGTTTATATTTATACCATTTCAAAGTTTGACGCAATAATTTCTGATTCGAGTGGAGGTAGTCACTCCTACTAACGCGACTTCATACGATATAAAACACGACAATTAATCCTGATAAATAGTATTAGATAATTTTACAAACCAGCAACACTCATTCTTAACGTGCCTAACTCATAACTGAAGATGTGGCGCTACAAGTCTGTTAGTTACAATTTCTTGATTAGTTGAAAAATTTAGCAAATCGATGAAATGAGTGTATACAGAAATGAGAAAGTTACTTTGTAAAAGTTACAGTTACAGTTTTTTTATTTTAAAAAATAATTAGTTACCGATTCTAAAAAGTAATATTTTATACTTATAGTTATTTAAAAAGTAACGAATCGTTACTTTTCTATTATTATAATAGAACAACATGGATAATATTAATTAAGATCATCAGAGATAAAAACTGGTTTACATTTACATCTTATTATATATAATTTTATTTCAAAATTAGGAAAAGTGATTCGAGCAAATTCAGTGGGTGCCTTCCATTTAGTACACAAGTCGACACAAGCATTATTTTATCTTTTTTTCAACATTCAATGACAACAAAGACAGAATGATGTTTGTGTCTTTAAATGGAAGTATATAGTTATTTCATTATCATCGAGTATACTCATTATTTAAAAAAACGATTTACTTTTGTGAACTTTATTCTTTATTTTTGGTTTTTCTATAGAGAAATACAGAAGTAAAGGTGCAGAGGGAGTAAAAAGAATATAAATTTACTAAGTTACTATAGAGAATGGTAATCATGCAGCTAATCACTGAGTGCCGCACAAACTCAAAAATACAAATAGGAAAGCACTATATGACATGTAAGTTTAAAATATATAAAATAACTATGAAAATAACTATTAAATTATAGTTACTTTCATAATTATTTGATACATTTCAGTTACAAAAATGATGTAACTCGCAATCAGTTAAGTCATAGTTACTGGAAAAAAACTCCAACTGTAACTTCATTACAAGTAACGAG